GACTCGGTGACCAGTCCCGTCGACCTCGTGTTCGGTACGAGAATGAACTCCGGCTGATATTAAAAGAAAATTACAGCCAACATGCCATCTCCGGGTAATGCAAAAGGATTTAAATCCCGTATACTCTCGGATAAATGACCTCGTGACTGAAGATTTACACTGGCTTTCTCATTATCCGCTCCGTTACCATAACGCGATCATTATCGTTTCCTCGTAATTTCGCTGGTAGACACTTTTCCTCTACGGGCTGTGTGCTTTTATTTTGGATTAATTGCCCCGAGGTCAAAGAACATCTCGATGCAATAAGGATTTGGTAGACCAGTGGATGAATGTTGGAAAATTTTTCGATATCATTGGAGATTTAGTGCTTAACCCTTTCCTTCCCTGTATTCTATAAATTTCACTTTTTTTCATGGTCTGAATGTTTTTAGTAGATCTAGTGAATTTAGAATTGAATAACGAACCTTTTTTTTTTTTAATTTAAACGTAACTTTACTGAACTTCATTAAAATCGCGATGTGTAATTTACGTTGAAAATTTCCAGCGATTATTATTGGAAGCCTTATTTCAATGATCTTTCAGCTGTATCGAGTAACAGATATCACCAATTTTTCGAACTAAACCCGTATATCTTTTCCTATTTTCTTAGAAAAACAATACTTCGCGGATTTCGTTTCCATCGACTGGACGGAGTCGTTTGCGGGGGATCTTCCGTTGGGATGAGTCGGCCGCGTAATCTTAGCGATCCGATGATAAATACAGGAGTTTCCCTCGGAGACACAGCTGCGTCTGCTTCGGCATCTGAGCACTTTATTCTATCTCCGTCCGTGTTTACAGATAAAAACAAGAAATTATAGCCCCGCCGTTTCAATCACGCTGCGTCAATAACAATAGCACCGAGAACTATTCTTAGTTTGGCGAGTCGAGGGCCTGTATCATTAGAAATAAAAGACTCCCAGTGTCGATGGTAAAAAGCAGAGTCGAGACTGAAATATACGCTCGTCGTGGAACGAGATACCGCGGGAGTTAAGTCGTCCAAGCGATATAATTACCCTAAATCAATGGACATTTTACTTTTCTTAATCTTAAAGTTGATTCTCACATTCAGAACCAATTTTCGTCGAGAACGAGTGTAAATTATGGTGTACTTTATGCGTATGATAGCTACTGTTTACGGTTTCTTCAATTCTTAAAGATATTAAAAAGAATATTTTAATACAATTCAGCCTCACCATATTCTGGATCTATTAAACGGAATTTTTGAATTGCTCTCTGTACATCGTTAATTTAAAATCATTCATAATTTCGTTTCTGAAAAAATATCTCGTGATATCGTTCGTTCGGGTCTACCTGGTTCTATGAATAAATTAAAATTAATAGGATCAATTAGTCACTTTACGTCTATCGAGCTCATTTTTTTCCCCTCCTCGATGTAATGAATGTTTAAAGGCTTCAAAGCTGTACATCCCATCTCATTGGAAAAATTAATAAACCGAATGAAACTAGAAACTTTTTCATGTAATTTTAATATCCTCCCTCCGAGTACTGGCTGCATTTTTCCCGGCTTCGCAGTTCATTATGTGTAACGTTCCCCCGTAATAAATCCGAATATCTCAAATATCATCATGTGTCGTTATCCCTGAAAGAGTACTATTACCTCGTCAGTTGCTTGTTAATTTTAAAACGTGTAATCCGTTCAGCTTTAGCGGCTTCG